CAAGATGCGGGAAATACCACCACCTCTGAGAATTAGGACTGTGCCCAATGAACAAAAATTAATGTTCTGGAACCGAGAACCAAGAGACCGTCTAGAAGTGTAGGAGGAGGACTTCAGAGAGGTGGAGAATTTACCTTTATTGTCTCAACCTTTGTTGCATTGTAAACAATCAGTTTGTTTTCTTAGAAAACTTTGGGTCTTGGGGAGCACTACATGTTTTACACCCAGATTGGAGTCTACTCTTGGGACCATGGTTAGGTCATAGAAGGCTTATAGATTTGGAATCACAATTAAAGTAGATATACCTTAGGAAATATGGATTTTGTATCTAAAACTAATTTTTTAGAAAACCCTTATCCTAAACACCTGTGCTGTTGGTGCCCAAGGGAATTTTGACTTAAAAAGAGAAAAGCAGGTACTTTTATAAGTAAGCTTTCTCCCAGATAAAGACAATGCCCTCTTCCTCCATCCATTCCTCCCCACCTTTCCCATAGCCCCTTCCCTGTCCCTGTCCCAGCACTTAATACACTGTGTTAGTCAGCTCCACCATGCGGCCTGCGCAATGGTTTCATTAATGAGGTTCTTGGCATAAAGTTAGCTAGAAGAGATCGAAATAAAACACACAGACTCAGTTACCTTATTTCTATTGCCAGGTCCGAGACGGCTCCCCTCTCTGGCTCCAACCTCTAACCGCCCAGCAGGGCAGCAAGGATTACTCAGGGCTAGCAGGAGAGAGAGAGAGTGAACCCGCCAGGGAGTAGCCTTTTATTGGGGAACAAGAAATTCAGGGGATAATTCCATCCAATGAAGGTTGAGGGGGGACTGCACTCCAAGGTCAGGGTCAGTGATTGGGCCCCCGGGGTCAGTGGTCAGTCACAGCCCCACACGGTCGGGTTCTCTCATCAGGAAAGGGCCGGGAAAGTTCCGACACAGCCAGAACGCCTCAGACCCTTAACGGGAGCCGCCCAGTCACGTGTCAGGATGGCTTCCCACAGTCAGCCTTTCAGCTTCTCATCACTAGGACAAAACACCTGAGAAAAACAAAGGAGGAAAGATTGATGTGGGCTCATGGTTTCACAGGATGCAGTCCATTGCCGGCTGGCTTCATTGTTTTGAGCTGGAGGTGAGGCAGAGTATCATGGCAGAAGAGTATAGTGGGAGATAGCTGCTCACCTCAAGGGACCTGGATAGCCAGCATGAAGGGAAGGGGGAAGCAAGAAGGAGAAGGAGATTGCAGGAGGAGAGGGGGGACTGGCAAGACTACAAGGGCACACCCCCAGGACTCTCCCTTCCACCAGCTCCCAGCTCCACGCAGCTCCATTCACCTATGAATCCATCAATGGATCCATCCACTGGTGAGATCAGAACTCTCATGATCTAATCACTTCCCAAAGGGTCCACTCTGAACATTGCTGCTTTGTGGACCAAGCCTTCAACACATGAGCCTTTGGGGAACATTCCAGAGCCAAACCATAACACCAGCTGCTCCATAATTGCCCAGATCCCAAGGGAAACACAAGACAATTCCCTTTGAAAGAAATTAAAATGGCTTTTAAACATTTGAAAGGATGGTCAATTTCACTCATATTTAATGAAATTCAAGTAAAGAATGCACACTGAGAAGTGCAGATGAAAGGGCAAAATCAGAAAATCCTCATTTTACGACCCTGCTAATTGACTCATTTGAAGCCATAAATGGATGAGTGGATCCAACGCTGGCTGGAAGAGGAGAAATGGACCCTTACCATGGAGGGCTGTGGTCGCCACCTTAACCTGTGACCACATTCAGCATCATAGTGGGACAACATGACATTGTAACTACTGATACAGGCACAATGAAGCAGGCAGCACCTCCAAGAAGTATTGATTAAATCCTTGCCCCCAAAATGTCTAACCTAATTCTAATCCATCCTTTGGGGTCCAGATGCTACTTTGTAGAAATGCAGGGGTCAGTATAAGAAACTAAAGGACATGGCAATGAGACAATCAGAAAACTGCCAGGGTGGGACATTGCACAGGGTGTCTGGCCCAGTCCCTTTGGGGAGTGCCCTGGGAAAGGGAGCAGGGACCACTCCAGACTAAGACACCTAAGAGAGGCAGCCACAGACTTTGGTGTGGGGTCCATGACGGGCTCCTGCTTGGAACTGACTGTAAAGACACTTCTGGCAAAACTGGTGAATTTCAATTATGAACTAGAGTGTTAGGGCCTTGTTAAATTTTTAAGGGTGAAATTTGTATTTTTGAATAAGAAAATGACCTATGTTAAATATAAAGTCTTTAATACTTTATGTAGTACCTAGGACGGTAGTTGGAGAAATATCATGATGCATGTAATTTGTTTCCAAATACTCCGCCCCCAATTAAACAAATATGGTAATTTTTAAACAATGATTATTTCTAAGTGTTGTTCATTGAGCTATTTGCTTTTTCATGTTTGAAAAGTAAAAACAAAAAAAGTAAATTGAAATACCAAAGACAAGATTCCATTTTTCACCTGTAAATTCAGAAAAAAAATGTTTAAAAATATGGTGCCAGGAACAGTGGCCCTTGTCTGTAGTCTCAGCTACTCGGAGGGCTCAGAAAAGTCCAAGGCCAGTCTCGGCAATTTAGTGAGACCCTGAGCTAAAGTGAAAAATAAAAAGAACTCAGATGTAGGGCTGGGGATGTGGCTCAAGTGGTAGGGCGCTCGCCTGGCGTGTGTATGGCCCGGGTTCTATCCTCAGCACCACATACAAACAAAGATGTTGTGTCCGCTGAAAACTAAAAAAATAAATATTAAAAAAAAAGAACTCAGATGTAGCTCTGTGATAAAGTGCCCCTGGTTTCGATCCCTAGCATCAAAAACAGAAATGGAAATTTCCCTCACTCTCTCTCAATATATTATATATATATGGTTAGCAGGAGGATAGGGAAATGGTAACTGTCCTAGATTGTTAATGAGGAGTATAAATTGGGACCTTTACTAAAGACATGTCCTTTGACAGTCATGCTACTTCTAGGAATTTAACATGTAGTGTACACTCAGGTGAATACAATGTATATGAATAAATTATTGCAACTCTTTCTTTCTTTTTATTTTATTTTCAGTACTGAGGATTGAACCCAAAGATGCTTACCATGGGGCTACATCTCCAACCTTTTTGAAAAATGTTTTAAAATTTTGAGACAGGTTCTTATCAAGTTGCTGAGGCTAGCCTCAAACTTGTGATCTTCCCTCCTCAGCCTCCTGAGTAGTTGGAATTATAGATGTGGGCCACCATGCCCACTCTGCAACTTTATTTTTATAACAAAAGATTAGAAACAGTATATATGTCCATCAGTAGAAGTTGTCAATTTTTTTATGGTCTGACCATGTAGTAGAAAGTGTCATAAAGTATGAGTTAGACCTTTTGTGCTGTTAGATGTATTGCTGAGTGTATAATGCAAAGGTCAGGGCAGACTCTTATTCATCACTATATGTCTGGGGCCTAGTAAGGTGTCTGGCACACATGGGTCCTTAGTAATATTAGTAGAGGGACTAAATATACCTCTGAACAGCTGTGAATCAGCCTGTCTGGATGGATGTGATCAAGTTTAAGACATAGAAAGGGGCCAGATTTTCTAACTCCCTTAAATATCTTCCTTGAATTCACAGATATTTGAATTTCCCTCAAAATGCACCATATCTTTCTTTGCAAAATCAGTGAACAAAACACTCAAAGGAGGAAAAAGAAAATTATCATAAAAGAGTGACAATGAAATTGCTGAAGGTAGGGGTGGGGGGAGCTAAGGTAACAATTGGAATTAATAGAGAATGTAGCTTCAAGCTTCCTGACAGCCAGGGCAAAAAGAGAAACCCGTGGGCCACAGAATTTTTGTTACATGGTAGAAGAAAGGACACTGACTTCTATGAGCCATGCTTATAGTAGGGGAGGAGTCCCCAGTAGCAAACTGAGATGCTTACCTCTCTAGGTAATTTACAGCCATGCACTGCCTAAGAACATAGGTCAACCACGGACCACATATGGGATGGAAATCCCATAAGATTATGTCACCTAGTGATATTCTAGTCATCCTAGTTCTTATAAATACGTTGGGATGTTTGCACAATAACAACGTGTTAGCTTGTTCCCCTTGATAAGAGATAGGTGACTATATTTGTGTCTTATTGTCTTATTGTCTCGAGATCTGTTCTGTATTTGCTCAATGGTAAAACTGATGAAGAAAAGCGGGAACTTTATGTAAACTTCCTATGAATGTTTAGGATAACTGTTGGCAAAATGATCTCCTCTACTTAAGTCTCATTTTCCTGGGTGGTGGTGTGACCTTGGATCAGTGGCATCTCTGAGCCTCACCTTCCTCATCTGGGGAAAATGATTATTGTGCAAATAAAATGAGATGCTGCATGGGAAGTGCCTGCATTGATAAATGCTTGCAGCTCTGCTTACATTATCATCATATCAGGATTTTCTGGCTGACAGCACTGACTGCCTGGATTTGAATCTCAGCTCCACCACTTAGTGACAAAGTGACCTTCGGCAAGGTCACTTAGCCTCTCTGTGCCTTAGTTTCCCCTCCATAAAGCGAGGCCAACAGGATTATCAAGGCGCTAAATTGGTTGATGGCTAAGTGCCGGTGTTTGTTAAATAACTCACTGGTTCCCTTCTGCTCTTTCAGGCCCTTCAGGGAAAAAGTTCGAAAATAGCAAAGAGAGATAAACTCTCTCCCGACGCTAATTTGAAAAAGGAACGGATCTCTATGATGCCAGTTATCCTAAGAGGCATTTCCTTCGTGGAAGATTAAGAGGCGTAAATGCGTTTATAATGGTGGAGCCTTCGGCAGGTGCCTGGCCAGATTGGGGCTATCTGGGGGGCACGGTCCCCACCCCTCGGCTGCTCGCGCCCTTCCAGAGAGCCCACGCGGACCGGCGGCTTTTCCGCGCCGGCCAGGGGCGGGCCACCGGGAGGGGACGGAGCTCCCGGGATCCCCGCCCCTCCCCCCGCCCGGTGAGTAATGCCATTCGCGGAGAAGGAGGGGGAGGGAGGCGAGGAGAGGGGCCGGCTCGGCGAGGCCATGTGATGCTGGGCGAGAGAGCCGCCGCCGCCGGAGCCGCCTTCTTTCCTCCTCGGATCCCGGGCCGCCATGGCGACCCCCAACAACCTGACCCCCACCAACTGCAGCTGGTGGCCCATCTCGGCGCTGGAGAGCGATGCGGCCAAGCCGGCCGAGGCCCCCGACGCGCCCGAGGCGGCCAGCCCCGCCCATTGGCCCCGGGAGAGCCTGGTCCTGTACCACTGGACGCAGTCCTTCAGCTCGCAGAAGGTAGACCGACCGCGGGCGCCGGGCGCGGCGGGCGCGGGGAGGGGCCGGAGCTCGGGGAGGGCAGGCGACGGCCCCCAGGGCAAGCAGCATCCGTGCTGCCTCTCCCTCCCGGAAAGACCCGGTGCTGGGGGCGCTGGGAAGAGAGACAAAGGCCCGGGGAAGGGAACGGGCGGCGGGGAGGCGGCCTGCGGAGGGCTGCAGCGGGGGACCCGCCGCCCCGGGGACCCGCCGCCCCGGGCTGAGCCCGGCCGCCCTCCCTCTGCGCTGCCGCCCCGGACACTGCAGGCCCCAGGTCGCAGCTCCGCCGCCCTCTGTGCCGGCGGGGGCCTTCCCCGGGTGGCTTCGGAAGGCCAGTCCCCAGGCGCTACCCCTGCTCTGGAGCTGAGAAGGAGGGAGCCCTCCTACCAGCCCCGCGGCCCTAGAGGTCTGTTTTGCTCTTAAAGACACAGACTGGCTCCAGCCCCTTAGACCCTTCTCTGACCCGTGGGTTTGGGGGTAGTTGGAAACCCAGCCTGGTTCTGAGTTATTAAGGATCCCCCTTCTCCCGGAAACTGCACCCCTGTGACCCAGGAGCCTCCAGGGCACTCAATCCCCCACCCCGGGAGGCCGTCCTTTCTCTCAGGCATGGTTTCAGCACCATGGCCAGAGCCCAGAGACCGGTCCTACTGGGGCCTAAGCGGCACCACGTCTGACCCTGACTCTTCCTCTCCTTGGGAGAATCTTTTGTTCCTTTCATTCATTTCCCACATGGAAAAACAGATTTCGTGAAGGAGAGGGGCTTTCGAACCCAAAGACTTGGCTCTGAGACTTGGTTCAGGCTGGGGTTCATTGTCTGGAAAATGGGATAATGATAATAATAGCTGCCTCTAGTTCCAGCCCCTTCCCAGGGAGGCCGCCAGGGCTGTTGAAGGGGTGGCATAACTTAGCACTCTAGACAGGCACTCCTCATGCTGCCAAAGAGCCACAGAGCGTCAGGGTAAGACATGGCCTGCCAGTTTCTGCCCCAGAGGTTCTGGTTCAGTTCAGTGGGGGGGGACCCAGGCACTGCATTTCCAATAGGCTCCCAGGTGCTGCTGAGGTAACTGGGCCACCCATCACCCTTGAGGAGCCCCAGCTTAGATCTAGGCTCTGAGGCTAGTCAGACCTCAGTGGGAGAGCCAGCTTCCCCACATGCTCACTGTAGAGCTTTGGATAAGTCACTTTGCCTCTCCAGACTCTCAATGTTATAATCTGCAGAATGGGCCTATCACAGTTACTTCCTTAGAGGGCTATTATGAGGACAAAATGAGATGATGCACAAAAAGTGCTCATGATGGCCGGACACAGTGACGCACACCTGTAATCCCAGCTACTTAGGATGAGCACAAGTTCAAGGCCAGTCTGGGCAACAAAACAAGACCCTGTCTCAAAATAAAATATAAAAAAGACTAGAGGGGTGTAGCTTGGGAGTATGCTTGCCTAACATGGAGACCCCAGGTTCAGTCTCCAGTACCGCAAGGAAAACAAATGCTGAGGTAATGTCTGGTGATGGGCCAAGTCTCTGGTAATAATGGGTGCTTGTGTAGCTCAGTGGTATAGCTCCTGTTCAGCATGCACAAGACCCTGGATTCATGTCCCAGCATGTAAAAGCACGCGCGCGTGCGCGCACACACACACACACACACATCTAAGCAAAGGAGGGCCAGAGTTATGCAAGGTCATTCTGGGACCAGTCCATAAATTCTACACATGCTTGCTGAGCACCTACTGCATGCCAGACTCTGTTTAAGGTACTGGGGGGTTGAAGATGAATCAGACTGTCTCCCAGATTTTAGAATCTCCTTCCACCTAATCCTTGGGAATCAGGTCCCAGTGGCTGAGAATGGACAGGGAGCAGGAGGAAGACATCTCCTATCACCATCCCCAAGAGGGCCTCATAGAATATTTCCTGTTCCTCCTGAGCTCAGGGCTTAGGTGGCCCTGCAGTCAGGGATGGGAGCACCCACTGCAACTCCACTTTTGACTGAGTTGTGGAACAACCCAGGCTGGACATCAGCCTTCCTCCCCCGCTGAGGGCCTTCCCGCTGCTCAGGGCCCATGGTGGATTCCAGGGGCAGGACAGCCTCACAGAAAGATGAGTTTGGGTTCCAGTCTCACCCTGGCTGCTTACTGGCTGAGTGACCTTGGAAAAGTTGCTTTGCCTCTCTGTACCACAACATCCTCATCTGGAAAAGGAGACTTTCCGTCCTCCCCTGCAGAATCCATGGGAGTCTTAGAGGACGGAGAGGTGTAGTGCCCGACACGGAGCAGGAGTGGGCACATTCCCTGCCTTCCCAAAGCCCTGAAGCGCTTTGGTTGCCTGCAGAGAGGCCCCACCGTGGACCTCTGAGAAGCCTGTCCCTAATGGCACATGAGTATTAATAGCAGAAAACAGCCCACCTCCAGGGCTGACGGCAGCTCCGCTGGGTGGGGGGGTTGTTGGAGACCCAGGCTCTGGAGCCCAGGCTTGGCACTCAGCTCTGCCATCAGCCAGCAGGTAACCCCATTCAGGTGCTGATCTCCTGTGCCCCAGTTATCCAACCTGCTCCCTAAGGATAATGACAGAGCTCCTGGACAGGACATTGCAAGTCAGCAGACGGACCCATGTGAATCACCTGGGATAGCATGTAGGATGTGCTCACCCAGGGCTGGCCACCATTATAAAGACACAGGCTGTGGCATCGGCTAGAGACCAGGCCCAATCCCAAGCCGCTGTGTCCCAGCGACATCACCCTCTGCAGGCGTCCCTCCTCTCTAGGTCTCACTTGGCTCATCTGTGTGCAGATAATGGCAGTACCCCCTCAGAGCACTGTGAGGATGGGATAATGTCACCTACAGTCACATGCTTAACACTGTGCACCTCCAAGCACCACCATATATAATAGTTGGAGGCCATGGGGTTTGAAGGAGGCTCTGAATGTGTGGTGCAAACAGTGGCTTCTGAGGGTGTTCCTGGCACAGCCTCCTCTGCCTTTCAGAGTAGAAGTGAGTTTGAGAGGAGCAAGAAATGCAGGGCGTCAGACATTGAGTGTAGCGCTGGCAGCCCCACGAACAGCTGTGTGGCCTGACCCTCTCTGGTCTTCAGCTTCCCCAGGGGAAAAAGGAGTAGATGGGTGGTACAGCCTGCCTTGCTCCCTCCTCCCCAAGAAGGGAGAACAACCCTTTATCTCTGTGCCCCCTGCCTTTGTGCGTCTCTCTGTCCTAACTCACACCTGCCAGCTTATTAAAAAAACTAAGATTGGGGGCTGGGATTGTGGCTCGGTAGAGCACTCGCCTAGCACAGGCAGGACCCGGGTTCGATCCTCAGCACCATATAAAAATAAAGGGGTCCATCTACACCTAAAAAAATAAATATTAAAAAAAAAACAAACTAAGATTGCTACTTGTTAGCTGTGTGACTTTGGGCAAATTATGTACTGTCTCTGTGCCTGTTTCCTCTTCTATAGGTCAAGGATATCAGTAGGTGTTAGTACCCACCTTGCTGGGGCTTTGTAGGGATTAAAGGAGTAAATGCATGTGCTGCTCTCAGAACAGTGCAGAAGTGCTATGTGAGCTGTAGATACTGCTGTTATTTCTACCATGGCAACTTTCTGAGGACCTCTTCTGGTTGCTGCCCCAAGCCTGGTTTAGAGTCCCTTACCCCACCTTCTCAGGTTCTGTCTTGGATGGATCTGGGGAGCCCCTAGCCCAGCCTTTGTTCCTGGGGTAAGAGACCCAACTTCCTACCAGGAACCAGTCCTGACACCAGGCAGGGAGAATGGTCTCCACCTCCCCGAGCAGCCTCCACTTTCAAACTCCCAAGCACTGCCCCCCCCACCCCCAGCCTGTCTCTGCTGCACTTGGCCATTTACTATTCTGCCCAAGGCTCACAGGTGAGAACTGACAGGGCCAGCAGAGCACCGCATTCCACTCCTCTTCTGCTCAGAAGCCTGCTATGGCTCCCCAGTCCCTCCAAGAAAGACCCAGAGTCCTCACAGTGGACTGAGGTCCTACTGCAGGCTCCTGATCTTGCCTGGATCAGGACAAAGTCAGGGGAAGCCTATGGCCCCTAGTCAGCTACTGTTTTTAATTGAATAAAATAAAACACCTAAGATTTATAGAGTAGAAAGGAAACCAATCATATTGAAGTACAGCTATCGAAATATTTTTAAAACACATGTGTTATATAATGATATGTGTGTTTCTGGTTAACCCATTATATAACACAGCCTAGTGGCAGGCCTGCTCGTGGCTGTCATGTTGAAGTCTCGATGAGTATGCATGATATTTTGAGGTGACTGCAACAACTGTCAAGTGAGGTGACACCGCGGTACTTTATCGCCTACATCCCTAGAAGAAGGGCAGGCCTGCATCAGTTTCTATTACCGAAGTAAACATGTTAGTTTCTCATTGAAGGTTCACACAGTCCCTGAATTTACTCATGGCTCCTTGCTGAAAAGCCCCTCCCCTCGATCCTTCCTCCCTCCTCATCTCCCTGTCCCTGCTCCAACCATCCTGCCCTCATCCTCCTTGCTGACTTCCAAACACATCCACTTGATCTTGCCTCAGAGCCTTTGCACCGTCCATTCCCTCTGCCCGGACCTCCCTTTTCAGATCCCAGTGTGATCACCTTGTTCGACTTCTGCTCAAGAGTCGCATCCTCAGAGAGACCTGCCCTGCTGGACCACCCTACTTATGTATTGTGGGACTGGGGATTGGATCCAGGGGTGCTCTACCACTGAGCCCAGCCCTTTTTATTTTTTTATTTTGAGACAGGGTCTCTCTAGCTAAGTTACTCAGGCTGGCCTCAAACTTGTGATCCTCCTGCCTCCGCTCCCAAGTTGCCCCCTGTATGGACCTTCCTATTTAAAACTACAGCCCATCTCCCTGACATGCTTGCATCCCAATAGCTCTTGCCTGTTCCTTAGTTTCATCATTTTAACTGCTTATCATCTGCCCCCATTAGAGCATCAGCACCTTAGAAGGGATCTTTGTTTCTTTCATTCATTTCAGAAACTCTAGCACTTGGAACAAGACCTGGCACATATCAGGCCCTCAATGAACAACTGTTAAGAAGTGATGTATTTGTAAGCCATAAGTTGTTACCTAAAGAAAGTGTTTGATTCTGCAAACCTATAACTGCTTTAAAAAACAAAAAAATCTGTTAAATTTTTCTTTTGGTGGGAAAAGATATTTGAGATAAATAAACTAAGGCTCAGAGACTTGAGTGCCTTTTAGAAAGTCACACAGCAACTAAATGACTGGTTACAGATGCCAAATCAGTGCACCACATAAATAGGGCCTGGCTGAGGAGGGACAGTGTCTGACCCCTCAATTGAAGCACCAGTGGGCAATGGTTGAAGTCTCATCACAGGGGTGGTGACCACCTACATCTGGTGGAGCCTCCAGGAGGCAGAGATGGCAGATGGCTTTGGTGGATTCGTGCCCTTCCCTTGGGCTTGGTTCCTTTCAGGTTCCCTCCCCCGCAGGCTGGCACCGGGTTCTGGCCTGCAGCTCGGCTGAAGGTGAACGTCTCCTTGGCCACCTGCCAGGGTGACCCTGAGGCGGCTCCAGGCAGGGTTATTGTGCCTCTAAAGATAGTCCCCTCCCCAGGCGGCAGCAGCCCTGATACCCTCACTGGAGCCGGGGCAGAGCCTGGGGAGTCGCCAGGAGCAGGTGCCTGCGGGGATGGAAGGCCAGCTGCACCTGCAAGGGCCGGCTTCGGCTCCGTGTCCACCCAAAGGGAGGTCCCAGCCTGGCTGGGCGGCTGGGGCAGAGCCTGACTCCCAGGGGAAAAGGAGGGACAAGAAGAAAAGGGTGGACGGTGCCACCCCTGAGCTCCGGGTTTCTGCAGGGCATGGGCCATGCTTGTGCGCCAAGACCCAAGTCCGCACACGCTCTGGCTCCCGCGCACCAACACGCTCACCCAGTGCTTCAGTACACACTAAGTTGTGCGCTCAGCTATGCACACGCATCTGCTCACTCATGCACACCCACTCACACTCATGCCCAGACCCAAACAGCTCTGGCCCCGGCCGCTGGCCGCTGCAGTTCTGGGACAGACCCGCAGTCTCCGCCCAGCGCCACCAGGGAGGTGGAGCCAGCCCCGCCTCCTGCTCGGTCAACTCCCCGCAGGGCTCCAGGGCGTTCTGTGAAGGAGTCCAGCCACTTTGTTTTACTGAAGAGGAAAAGGAGATTCAGAAATGGGGAGCGAGAGCTCTAAAGTCACACAGCATTAAGGTGCAGAGCCAGGACGACGAACAGGGTCCCTGCCTCCTGCCTGGGGACCTGCTTTGGCTATCAGAGCAGATGCATCTGCGGAGAGCGCGGGGCGTCCAGGGCCCGGTACCTCCCCTCCACACTCCGCCCAGTGGGAGGGGTGTTAGCCGAGAGGGCGGGGCAGGGGGTGCTCCAGGTTGCCAGCCAGGGTGCAGGGAGGTCGTGCAGGCGCATGCTTAGCACCCACAGGTTAACCTCCATGCTGGGACTCCACACACAGCACCCATTCCAGCCTCACACCAGCCTTGAAGGAATAGGTCACAGTCCTCATTTCACAAAAATCAGAGATCAGAAATGTTGCCTGACGTGTCCAGGGTCACATAGCAAATATGCTGCACAGCTGGGCTTCAAGTCCTGCCGGCCTCTAAAACCTTGTCTAAACCTGGGAGCTGAGATGTGGCACAGGGCTTGGGGCCTTGAACCCTCACACAGCTGTCTCAGGGAGTCGTTCTGGGACTTCACGCAGCAGGAGGCACACAGAAGTGACGACACTCGGCCATCCAGCAAGGCTGGAGCAGGGATTTGACCCCACACCCTCCAAGGCCCTGTCCCTGCCACCATGCTGCCTCTGCTGGCACTGAGAGGGCAGCCAAGTGCACCCAGGCCTGGGACTCCCGGATGCTCAGCGAGAACCCGCCTTTGCTTCTCTCAGGGGTGCCCCCTTCTCCCCAGAACTGCAGTAGAATGGGAAGGAGACTGTGGGAGGGGATCCCTTGCCATCCCCCTGCCAGGGGATCTGGGGCGAGTCCCTCCTTCTTTCTTAGTCTCCATCCACAGGTACAGACAACTGGACTAGGTGATCTCTAACCAGGCCTGATTGTTTCCAGCTCAGAAATACTGGGCTGGGGACTGGAGTCATGGCTCAGTGGTAGAGCGCTTGCCTGGCATGTGTGAGGCCTTGGGTTCGGTCCTCAGCACCGCATATAAATAAATAAATAATCCATTTAAGAAAAATAAAAAGAAAAGAAATACTGGGCTGGGTCAGGAGCAGGCCCAGCCTCAAGGCTGTTGGCTTCTGCCAATTCAGGTGTTTGTCTGGAACACCCTAGAGACAAGGAAGGACTCAGGAGAGGGCAAGCCCAGGACTCCAGGAGGAATTCCTCAGAGGAAAGGGCACTCACTGGTCTGAGAGTCAGAAACCATTGTTGCTAGCTTTATGTCTGCTGTGTAACTTTGGGTATGTTGCTTGCCCTTTCTGGGCTTTAGTTTTCTCATCAAGGAAAATAGGGAAATATTCCCTGTTCTGTCTTCCCCTGGGAGGCTACTGTGAGCATCCAACCAGACAGCCAGATGGGAAGGCACTTGTTCGGAAGCAATAAAACCTCAACTCATGTTGGCAAATTATTTTTCACCTCACTTTGTTCCCAATTAATTTGAGAAATTTAGCTCTTGATTATGACAATGATTAGAATTTTGGTGAATCTCCTGGACAGATCTACCTCCAGAGACCAGAGTAAGTGTCAGATCACGATAGTGATAATCATGAATTGCCATCTGTGTGCCAGACCCACACTGGCAAAGTGTGCCAGGACTGGTGTTACCCCCATTCTGCAAATAGGGAAACTGAGGCTCAGAACACTTAAAGAGTTTGCCCCCATGGCCCAGCTAGGAGTCCCATCCCGGTGTGTCCAGGTGTAAAACCCAGGCCCTAGACAGAGGCAGCACCACCTCTCAACCCCAGGCAGGCCCATGTTCCCCCACTGCCCAATACATGCCCCTGAGACATTCCCCCCGCCCCTGTGCCCAAGACTGCGCTGAAAGCAACAGTGTCACCCTCCTGTGTGTGACCTCTGACCTCCCTCCTCGCACGCCCTGCCCCGCCTGGGCAGTGTCCCTGTGTCCGCCTGCCTTCCCCGCTCTGACCCTGGCGCCTGCAGGTGCGACTGGTGATCGCCGAGAAGGGCCTGGCATGTGAGGAGTGGGACGTGAGCCTGCCGCAGAGCGAGCACAAGGAGCCCTGGTTCATGCGGCTCAACCTGGGCGAGGAGGTGCCTGTCATCATCCACCGTGACAACATCATCAGCGACTACGACCAGATCATCGACTACGTAGAGCGCACCTTCACGGGAGGTATGGCCACCGCTCTCCCCGGGGGCCACAGCCCCCTTCCCCAGGAATTCTGCAGTCACAGGCACAGACACGGGCCCTTAGGAGTCCCTCAGGTCCCCAAGACAGGGTCCAGATTTCCCAGGTCCCAGCCCCGGCCCAGACTCACAGGAACCCCATAGACACAAGCAGGGTCCTAACACCCCAGACCCTGCAGGACCCTATGTCCTCTCCCTCCCTTGGCCATCCCCAGGCTCAGGAGATCACTGCCCAGGCAGAGGCTCAGGCAGCCACTGAGAGGGGATCAGGGACCAGCAGGTGCTCTTCAAAAGGAATGAGGGGGTGAGGATCCATGGTAGAGGCCCGGGGTTCCACCCCCCGCACAAAGAGAAAACACATACGCATGGATATTTAGTCACCGGCGAGTAATTTATACATATAATGTATGATTTTATATAGAAGGATACATACATGTGTATCTAATGAACTTGCCTGTGGTTAAAAATCAAGGAGACTGGAGCTTAAACATCCAAGTTTCCAGTCCCTTTTGAAATTAGGCAGCACAAGGCCGAGGCCGAGGTCCCTCCTGGCCACAGTCAGGCTGAGAGGAGCTGCCCAGCGGGGACAGCCTGGCAGAGCCCAGTGCAGAGAGGCCCCACTGGATCTCTGGATCCCGGGGTGGGCCAGCGGCAGAGCCCTGGAAGTGGGTGACCGGGCCTTCTGGGTGTGACGGTCCTTGTTCTAGGATGCTGGGGGGCTGGCGGCTGAGTCGGGATCGGCGCCTACCCCAGCCCGGCCATTGGTTGTGCCCCACAGAGCACGTGGTGGCCCTGATGCCCGAGGCGGGCAGCCCGCAGCACGCACGGGTGCTGCAATACCGGGAGCTGCTGGACGCGCTGCCCATGGACGCCTACACGCATGGCTGCATCCTGCACCCTGAGCTCACCACCGACTCCATGATCCCCAAGTACGCCACGGCAGAGATCCGCAGTGAGTGCCCGGCCTCGCGGGAACTGTTGCCCCAGCCTCGCGCACCCCTCCTTTGGACTGGAGTCCCTCTTGGGTACCTACTCCCCTCCCGGGTCTCTTCCTCCTGCCTCTGCTCTTCCTCTCACCTCTTCTGTCCCTGCTTCTCTCTCTGCCCCTGTCTCTCACTGGGGGTTCCTCCCAACGCCTTTCTTCTCTTCCCTCTTTCCGGCCCTCCATCTCTGGAAGCCTGCCCTCCCGCCTTCCCAGGAAGAGGCTGCCTGTCCTGCAGAGGTTTTTGTTACTGGTGGGGAGCTGCAAGCCTCCCCCAGAAATCCCAGCCACAGACTGTCATTGGTGGCCAAGGGTCCTGAGAGAACTCAGGGTCATGGTTGCCCAGGAAGGATGCCCAGATGTGGCAGGCCCCAGTGGGGTCTCTGGTTGGGGGTGGGACCACAGCATCGTTGGCCCTTTGCCAGCTGCCTATAGACTTCGGTCCAGGCTCCTGCAGACACCTTGGGGTCCCATAGTCAAGAGAGACAGGAAGAGCCCTAGTGGATCATAGGTGTTTGGTAAATGGTCACTTCCTCCGTCTCTCACATCCTCTTCTGTCCCACTGATGTTCAAAGGCAGGGAGGGGCATCAGTCCTGTCCCTCCAGAATTCCCTTGAACAAGACTCAGAACTTATCCATGTGGCCTTCCCTGTTCAGTCGACAACATTAGGAGACCAGGAGGGAGCTGGGAACAGACAGGGTTAGACACAACTTCTGCCATCCCAGGGTCTCAGTTCCATGGAGCAAAGACAAAGATCAAGCAATTACAGTGCAAGACTAAGAAAATGGGCACTCTCTGGAGGGCACTGACCAAGCCTTGGAGACTGGCCCACAGGCACGCCTGGACATGTGCCCCAAGAAGTACAAAGATAGTCACCACAGCATCGTTGGTCATAGTGGGAAACACAGCTGGAAATAACCCTCTGCCATGGGTTGGGGACTGTGCAAATAAGTAATGGCACTACCATATAATGGCATAGCATGCCAATGTTTAAAATATGACAGATGTGTTCTCAAAGATATACCAGTGAGCAGGGAAAAAAGAAGGAGGGAAATCACCCAAAATGCTATACTTAAAAGGGAGTTAAGTGGATGCAGAGGGGCTTGGGTGCCCAGTGTTACCGCTGTTGGCCGGTGAGTCCTTGCTTCCCCAATGTTGAAGAATAACACCAGAAAAGCATGCCGAGGCAAGGTCAGAGTAGAAATTAGAAGTTTATTAAAGGACAGCAGAAAAGACTTCTCCCGGAGGAAGAAGGGGACCCAAGACCCAAGAGGTGGAGTCCGTGGCAGTGTGATTGTTTCACCTTTTTATAGTTTTGGTGATGGAATGTAAGGGGGAAGGGTTGGGACACAGGTAATCTGGGCAGGAAGGACTTCATTAACACTTCTCTGGGATGGGCTATCTTCAAATCTGCTGGGGATGTTCCTTGGGTTCCATTAACATTTCTTTGGGGTGGACTTTGGCCTAGGGCCTTTCTGGGACTTCATTAACATTCCATGAGTTGTCCTGCGTTTCATTGTCAGCATGGCCTCCATTTTAGATTTTACTCGATATGATATTAGACCCAATTTACCTAACTACACTGACTACCTAACTTTAAATCTGGCTTCACCAGGGTATTTCTTTTTCTTTCTTCTTCTTCTTCTTCTTTTTTTTTTTTACTTTTTAGTTGTACACAATACATTTATTTATTTACCTTTTCATGGTACTGAGGATCAAACCCAGGGCCCCACACATGTTAGGTGAGCGCTCTACCACTGAGCCACAACCCCAGACCCTGCATGGGGTGTTTCTGGAAGATGCCCATGAAGCTGCCGATCATGCCAGCCCCAAAGGTTTGGCGGGTCTAGTACACTCAAGGTGACTGAACTGCATCACCAGGGACAGGAACACTGGGGCACTCAATGAAAGAGGGAGCAAGCAGGAGGTGGAGAAGGTGGGTCCCGCAGCTCTTAGAGGGCAGGGAAGGCCCCGGGTGCTGTGGGAGAGGGGCAGGGAGGCCTAGAGGACAATAAGGCCTGGGTTTGGGAGTTCTGCCTGTTTCTGGCATCTCCTGCTATTCCACCAGGCACTGTCTCCTCCTCGGTGAGGCTTCCTGGGGGCCCTCTAGGCCCCACAGCATTGTGCCATTCTTCATTACAGATGGATTGTGCCATGTCACAAGGACTTGGTGTCTTTCTCACCCACTGGCCTGAGCCTAGGGCAGGATGGTGTCTCATGGCCCCGTGACACAGCCTGTAGTGACCCTAAGTCTTGGCTGCTGCCGTTGTCATCCCCCCACCAGTGTTCAGATGGACTGATTCCCAGTTGTGGGGGAAGGACGGGAGGCCCTGGGGGTCAAGATAGGACCCTTCCTGTTCTCTTCTCAGGACATTTAGCCAACGCCACCACGGACCTCATGAAACTGGACCACGAAGAGGAGCCCCAGCTCTCGGAGCCCTACCTGTCTAAGCAGAAGAAGCTCATGGTGAGTGCCCCCAGCCCACCCGCGCTCCCCACCGTCTGTCCATGGGAGGGACAACTGGAGAAGGCGGTTCTGAGGTGACCACTGGCTGCTGATTTGAAAAGGAAATCCTTGCTTGCTTTGCCAACTCTGTGTCCTCTGCCACTTACTGGATGCTTGATCTTGGACAAGCCATCGCCACCCCAGGGCCTGTTCCTTACACCTGAGGCTCTGTCTCCAAAAGCAGAGCATTGAACACAGGTTCTTGGGTAAGAAGTTCTGAGGGGAGCCCCGTGGGGATGGCAGAGAAAGGGAAGAAGAAGGGCCCACGCCTCGCCTGGTCCCCTGGGAAGCTCTGGAGCACCAGAGGCACCACACAGCCAGTCCACCTTGTTACCAGGGCCAGCCTTTAATGCCCCCATATCAGTTGGCCCTTGGCTACAGACTACCTGGTGGGGTGTAGGGTTGGGGACAACCTCCCATGTGTTTCTGGTCAAGGCAGCTCCTCAATGATTGACAGCCATTCTCTGGAGAAAGGACACCTGTTTGCCACTAGCAGCCAACCCTCCCAGGGGCTGGAGGTCTGAGTGTCCAGCCCCGTGGCCAGGATTTGGGCAAGATGGCCACGCTCACTGGACCGTCAAGCACCAGATAAGGAAGGCTGGGTTTGCGAAGGGGTTTAGGTGAAGCCCCTCCCGCCCCTGCGCATCCTGACGCCATTGAGGCCAACTCAGCCTCCGGCTCCTGCCTGTCCTGCCACAGGCCAAGATCCTGGAGCATGACGACGTGAGCTACCTGAAGAAGATCCTCGGGGAGCTGGCCATGGTGCTCGACCAGATCGAGGCTGAGCTGGAGAAGAGGAAGCTGGAGAACGAGGGTGGGTGCCAGCCCCGGGGCGGCAGGGGCTGCAGGCCCCCTTCTACCACCCCTTCCTGCCCCTGCCCCTGCCCCTGCCCAGGGTCTTTCTCCCCCAAGATCTCAGAAGACCTCCCAGATGGTGGGGATCATGGGCTCTGGAGTTGGGTAGACCCAGGTTCAAATCTAGCTTGGTCACTTAATGGCTGAGTGACCGTGGGCAAGGTACTCACCTCCCTGGACCTCAGCTTCCACATATGGAGTGGGGATAACAGGAAGACCTGCCCCAGAGACACTGGGACGCTGCATGAGACCACCCGCACAGAGAGCGTAGATCAGGGCGTAGCACACAGCTGAATAGAGGCTGGTGACGAGCCTGTGGTGGCCATCAGCCTCCACACCACCTCACCTGGCCCTGCACAGGAGAGCTCAGTGGTTCCTTCCCACTGCAGCCAGACCTCCAGGCTCTGACCTTGGCACCACCTGCTCTTGAACAGCTTCCTTCCCAGCCCCACACCCTTGCTCCTGCAGCCCAGCCTAGAGTACCCTCTCCCTGCCACTCAGCTCCATTAGCCCGTGACACTGACTTCAGCCCTTCTCTCAGTCTCACTGTGGACCCTTCTGCCTTGCTCTTTTTTTGGAGGCCTGTTAGTCTTGTGTCCTCAACAATACAAATGTCTGGGCCATGTGTGGCCTGTCTGTGTGCACAGGAGGCTGCAGAACAGTGTCAGAGACAGGCAGATTTGAGTTAGAGTTCCAGCTTTGCTCTGTGGCCTGGGACAAGTTGCTTTCTCGCCTGGATCTTCAGTTTCCTCATCTGTAAAATGGGATGGTAATAACACAACTTAAAACCTTAACCTCATCTTGTTGGACTCTGGGGAACATTAAAAGCACTCAGCACTGTTCCTGGTGCATATAGCTGAATAGACGTACAGCTAAAGGCGAGCTTCTTCTCTGGATGAGAAAACTGAGGCTCAGAGAGATGAAGTAACTTGCTCAAGGTCACACAGCTCATAAGTGTTAGGGTAAGAACAGGTTCCCTCTCAAAGAGTTCAGTGTTCTTTGCAGCACCTCATAACTAATGGCTGAAGACACACAGAGACCTAAAGTCCTGAGCAGGGACATCATCATACACACTGAGGCTGCTGCCTCAGATTTTCCTGGAAAAAAGCATGGGCTGGCTGGGTAAACAATGACACACACCTCGAGAAGGAATTTTCCAGTTTCCACTGGAGAGGGTGCTCGAGGGGGGATTACAGAAGAGCTTTCAGGGGCCAAAATACATGGTGAGTCCAAAGCTGGCCTTTGGGGTTGGACAATCTCAGCTCTGTGGTTCTCTGGCTGGGTGACCTTGAATCACATGGTACCTAGGTATTAGTTTGTTAGGGCTGCTGAAACAAAACACCACAGACCTGGTCACTTAAAAAGTGGAAACCTTCTTCCTCCCTGTCTTGGAGGCTGGACGTCCAAGGTCAAGGTGTCGGTAGGGCAGGTTCCTTCTAAGCCCCTCCTGGTTGAACATGTGTCTTTCCACTGTGTCCTCAAAGCTTGTTCCTCTGCTGAGCAGCCCTGGTGCCTCTGCAGGCTCAGACTTGGCCTTATGAGGAGGGTATTAGGGCCCACACTAACGTCCTCACTTGGACTCACTCACCTCTTTAGAGCCCTGTCTCCAAACGCAGTCACATTCTGTGACATTGGGAGTTAAGAACGTGTGAAGTTAGGAAGGGACAGAATTCAGCCAGGACAATGTGCATATTTATCAGCACTCTCTGTCTGTGAACACTGTTCATGGAGTTCAACTCGCTCAATCCCCATGACAGCCCTGGGAGGTAGAGACTACTCTCATTTAATAGATGAAGAAACTAAGGCACAGAGACATTCAACAGCTCCCCTGAGTTCACACAGAGAAGTGTGGAGTACGGATTCAAACTCTGGCTCCAGGTTCTTAGGCACTAGCTCTGGTGCCTCTTCTGAGATGAGAACTCTCATTTCATGAGTTGTGAGGATTTATGAGAAAATGCATGTACGGGTAGCACCGCAGGGCCTGGCACACAGGACGGGAGTTTCAACAAATGTTAGCTGCTGTTGTGATCAAGGGGGGCTCAGGGTCTGATCTTGACCGGGGCCAGAGTGGGTGGCTCTGGAAGAGAGCTCTGGATGAATGTTCCTCGAGGGATTCCCAGATGCGGACCCTGCTGCCTGCCTGTCTTTTGGTCAGGAGGTCTTCTGAGAGGTGGAGGTGTTGCATTGCCCTTGGGTGAGATGGCTGAGCTGTTCAGAATGGAGAGGTGTGGATGGTCCTTGTGCCCCTCGGGGCTGAGGGGCAGCAGAGGCCCAGAGAAGTGGCTGTGGGTTTTAAAGCTCTGACTGGCTGTGTCCTCATGGCCTCTGCCACTCATTCCCCAACCAGAGCACCACTGCCTGCCCTGGGGGACACTCAGGTGGGTCCACTTCTCTCCTGGTGGGCTGAGCCCAGAGTCGGGAGGTATTATAGTGTCACAGTTATGACCCCTAGCATAGAGCCAGATGACATCAGTGCAGATTCCCAATCAGCCATCTCCTTGCTCTGTGACTTGTGGAATTCACTGCTCCTCCGAGATCACCTGCAAAATCAGAGTAATAACGGAAAGTAACTCACAGCAGGTTTAAGAAGACTTGTGAAGGTAGTAAGCTCTGAGCACTTCAGACAGTGCCAGACTCAAGGCAAAATGTTCTAGAAAGAGCAGTTTTAAAAATCATTCTTACCATTTTTCTGGAAAGGTTTTTCGTTTGTTCATTTATTTGTTTGCTGTTGCTGGGGTTGGAGCCCAGGGCCGGAGCATGCTAGGCAAGTGCTCTACCACTGAGCCCCAGCCCCGGCCCCACCTTCATTTTTTCCATTTATTTATTCAAATATTTACTGAGCATCTCATATGTGCCAGATCCTGGGGATCAAATTGGAAGCAAAAACAAACACCACTTTTGCTCTCATGGAGTTTATGATCCAGGAGAGAAAAAGGTGTTAGTCAAACAATCCCACGAGGAAACACAGAGTTACAAAGAGTGATGTGTGAAGATGGACGAGGGCAGGGGCTCTCCGGGGAGGAGGCTCACCTAGCATGCTTGAGAACTGGTTCAAACCCCAGAACCACACACACACACACAAAGGAAGACCAAAATGGGCAGGGCTGGGTGCAGGTCCGTGAGGAGCCCTTTCCTGGCATGCCTGAGGCTCTGAGTTCGATCCCCAGCACCACCAGAAAAAAAAAAAAAGTAAAATGGGTAGGACAAGTTTGATAACGTGAGACCTGATAGAGGAGAAGAAACCTGGGGGAGAAGGAGGCAACTGTGTGGTACATCGTGCGGTGAGTGATATGAGTGAGGCCAGAGACAGCTGGAGAGGACAGGGGGTGATCATCGCTTCAGGGCAAGTTGACATTTAAGAGGTTATTTTACACTGAGTGCAATGGGGAAGTTCCTGGAGGGTTTTGAGAAAGGGTTGTATCCCTTAGCCTTACTGCATAACAAACAATGCCAAATCTGAGTGTCTCGAACAAAGAACCTTTCATATGTTCATCATGACTTGTGGCTTAGCAGCATGGGCTGGGCCCAGCTAGGAGGCTTGTCCCTGTCCCACACAGGGATGGCTGGCTTCATGCCTGCAATTGTGATCAGCCAGCAGCCACCACCCTCACCGGCGTGTCCGCTGTTGGCAGTGTCAGCGGGGCCAGTGGAGGTAACTGGACCACTTGCTGCTCCTCATCCAGCAGGCTAGCCCAGACCCGGTCATGCGGTGGCAGTCACAGGGTTGCCAAGAGCAACTTGAGAGCAAAGCGTCTTCCAGCCTCCGCTTGGGTCACCATTATTCAAATCCCAAGGACTGAAGAAAGTGGCACTTCAAAGTCCAGACGAAAGGGGTGGAGCTCTATCAGGTTGGCCTCCTGGGGCTCAGAGCAACTTGGAGAAGGAGAAGAGGATCTAGAAAGGCCAACTAGAGATACGCAGCTTCGGATAAGTGCAGAGGACCGCAGAGGGACTGGCCTGGGAGTGGAGGACAGGGCCTGCCAGGTCAGCATGGGTAGGGAGCAGGAGGCAGAGGCTGGAGCTGCTGGAGCCAAGCCCGTGTGCCTGGTGGGAGTGGGGGCGAGGCCTTTCAGATCTGAAGGCTGCTCTCTTCTGAATGAAGCGTGAGATGAAGTCGTCAGCTGAGAGAGACCTGTGGAAAGTCCTGAGGGGTGAGGAGAAAAGGAGAGGACAGCAGTGGTGTCCCAGGGAGTGGGAACAAGGCCACCCGAGAAGTGCAGCAGGACCTTCTGGGCTTCGCAGCCCTGAGAGGAACGTGACTCTCCAGCTCCGCTGTGGATTGTCTGCAGCAGGAGCGACTGGCAGGCTCAGGAGCGCCAGCTGGGGGTTGACTGGGTCTGGGGCTTTATGAAAGGGATGCAGGACGGCAGGGGAGAAGAGAGGAGAAATGAAGGGGCCCTCCAGAGACATCAGACGGCAGCCAAGGGGCACCTGTGGTCACTCAGGGTACTTTGCCTCCAAACAGACGCAGGAGGGGTAGCAGTTCTCAGAGCAGGTCTGCAGGCAAGCCGCCCGAGGGCGTGGGTGTGCGCTGTCCTTCACCATGTGGACACAAAGCCCACGTGTGCAGATACCCACATGCAAATACAAGCAGGGGCTGCGTGGATCTGTGCAGGCAGACACAGGGTACATGCAGACAGATCCACACAGACCAAAGCACAGTGTGCACCTACTGACGGGGCCGAGTGTACATGTGGAGATGCATGTATGTCCCAGCTCATGATCGACACCCATCAACACATGGTGTTGATGTTCATCTGCATGTGGAAAAGAGCAGCATGATGTAAAGTAGCCTGGGTTTGACTCCAGGCTCTGCTCTACCATATACCAGCTGTGCAACTTTGACCAAGTTACTTGACCTCTTCATGTCTCAGTTTCCTCATCTGTAGAATGGAGATAATAATCACATCTACTTGCTAGGGTTGTCACAAGGACTGAGGGAACTACACCATGCTCCTTGGGGCATCTCCCACCCACAGGCCCCTCTTCCCAGCCTACTTGCTGGGTTCTCCTTGTGGCCCAGTATCTGGGCTCCATCCAGGTCTATTCTCAAGTCTGTGTATGCTCACTCCCTTGCTATGTGCCCACCTCTCTTGCCCGCTTCATCACACTGGCCAGACCTTGTCCCCTATTCAGCACCTGCCCTGGGCCTACACTGGCCCTAAACATGGCTGGGGAAACCTGAAGACTCGCTGGAGCTGGTGGGCAGCAGCCTTAGGGACCTTACCCCTGCCCGCCTCCCGCTACTGCAATCTCCAGAGGGCTTCTGTGACCATCTCCTTAGCCCTCCACCCTCCACTGTCCCCCATCCTCACTCCCTGATGACCCCTTTCTTCCTACATCCCCGAGAAAATCAAAGCATTAGGAAGCGATTCTCACAGCCAGGTCCCATGACTACCTGCAGGCAGGAGTGTCCATCAATAGGACAAACCCTATTTGTCCTATTGTGACCAGAGATAGGAGGTTCCTTGGACCCATACCAATGTGCTAAGAGGCGTCTTTGTCAATCACATGAACATCTCTAGAATTGGGACTTTTCTTGTGATTGATTATTTGCTTTTTCTTTGGAGTGGGCGTTTCAGTCCCCATGGTTACTTAGATTTGGTGACAGACGATAGCATGCTGTCCTCCTTAGCAAGATGCACCACAGTCCCTGAACTAGCCAAGACCAGCCCCTCCACAGGCCCCGGACCCCACCCCTGCTCCTCCACTCCAGAACCCCCGGCAGTGCCTCTCCCTCTTCCTGTGGCCTCACCACCCCCCACCACGGCGTCACTCCATGAGCCTTTTACCCTCTCATCTTGCAGAAGTGCTCTTGACCCGCCTCACCTGACTGCCTGTCCTTCCCCTCAGAGCAAAACTGCTTAAGAGCCATCTTTGCTCCCTGTTTCCTATTCTCTCCTCCCCCCTCTCGAGCTCCTCCTACCCAGGCTGTCACTGTCAGCAGCCTGTCCCCCTGCCCTCGGCAAGGCCACCATCCACTAAATGCATCGCAGTGCTCGGCCTCTTACTTGACACTTACATGGAATCTGAGCACAGCCGAGCACATGCTCCTTGGGACACTTCCTTAACTCAGCCTCCAGACACCAGTGCCCTGATCATCTCCTCCCTCAGAGGCTGCTCCTTATCTGCCCTTTGCTGTTTTCTCCCTGTTGCTCCATATCTAAACCTTGGAGAGCCTGGGATTTGGTGTTTGAGCAAAGACCCGCGGAGGTGGAGGAATGAGCCTGGGAAAATGCAAAGGCCCTGAGGTGGAGTGTGCCTAGGAGGAGGACCTGCAGGGAGGCAGTGTGGCTGGTGAAGAGCACAGGGCGGGAAGTAGAATCTGAGGTCCGTAAGGTACCTGGGGCCAGATCCCACAGGGCCTTAGAGGGCTTGGAGGCCTTCAGCTTCTATTGTCACCATCATGGGACACTATTAGAAGGTTTTGAGTGGAGAGAAGTAGCCTAATCCAAGTTTTCACAGGATCCGTCTGGCTGCTGTGCTAATAGACTCCAGGGGCAAGGACCTCCTGAGGGACATTATGATGATTTGGTTATGAGATAAAAGTTGTTGGATCAGGATGGTAAAAGTGAACATCAGGTTTTAAATATATTTTGAAGATAAAGCTGATGGGAATTACTGACCCATTAGCTATGGGGGACCAGAGAAAGAATTCATGGTAGCATGAAGGCTTTTGGCCTGAGTCACCAGAAGCATGCAATACTACTACCAAGGCGGGGGTGACTGCCATGGGTTTGTGGGTGACTGATAATCCACAATTCTCTTTTGGACACTTTGAGTTTGAAATGCAGAGTAAACCCCAACTGGAGCTGGGGGAGAGGCAGTTGGATGTGAAGTTCTAGAGTTTAAATACACAATTTGCACTTTGGAAGTTGATTTAAGCCTTGCCCTGTGTTGCACACCTGTGATCCTGGTTCTTTGGGAGGCTGAGGCAAGAGGATGCCAAGTTCAAGGCCAGCCTGGGCAACTTAGCAAGACCCTGTCTCAAAATAAAATAAAAAGGTCTGGGGGTAGATCCCAGTGGTAGAATACTTGTCCAGCTGCCAAGTCCGTGCCCCCCCCCACACACACACACGTATGTCAGTTGAGCCAGGCATGGTGACTTCACACCTATAATCCCAGCAACTCAGGAAGCTGAAGCAGGAGGATTGAGGCCAGGCTCAGAATAAAAAGGACTAGGGATGTAGCTCAGTGGTGAATCACCTCTGGATACAATCCCTAGGACCAGAGAGAGAAGAAATAGAAAAACATGTCAGAAGCTGTACAGGCGTGGATGGCCCCTGGGAGACACCCGGGCGGGCAGACACAGGCTGGGCTGAGGAGGGAAGTGAGTGCTCCGTCCCCTCTCCTCCTCCAGGGCAGAAGTGTGAGCTGTGGCTCTGTGGCTGTGCCTTCACCCTTGCGGACGTGCTCCTGGGGGCCACCCTGCACCGCCTCAAGTTCCTGGGACTGTCTAAGAAGTACTGGGAGGACGGCAGCCGGCCCAACCTGCGGTCCTTCTTTGAGCGCGTCCAGAGACGCTTTGCCTTCCGGAAAGTCCTGGGCGACGTCCACACCACCCTGCTGTCAGCGGTCATCCCCAACGCGTTCCGGCTGGTCAAGCGGAAGCCCCCGTCGTTCTTCGGGGCGTCCTTCCTCATGGGCTCCCTGGGCGGGATGGGCTACTTCGCCTACTGGTACCTCAAGAAAAAATACATCTAGAGCCGGCGGGGCTCGCCCGACTGTTGGTGTCTGTGCTGTGTGATTCCCAATGACCTCAGAAACCCACTGTCCCTCCAACACTGGACAGCACTTCCACCCCTCGTTCTGAGTAGTTCTGTTGTCGGTGTAAAAACCTTCCATAGTTGTAGAAGTAGCCGTTGCCAATGCTGTGACCTGAGGCCATGGCTCTGCTAGAGAGAGAGAGAGAGAGAGAGAGAAACGAAACAGAATGCCTTTTCTTTCGATTCAAGGTCTCAACATGGAACTGTGGGGACTGGTTAGGGTCTGAGGTGAGTCCCCGGCCTTGCCATCCAACAGGGCCCAGGTTCTGGGAGGTGCCGGGGGCTCCGAGAACCTGACCGCTCGCCTCCCTTCCCTCTTGCCAGGACAAAGCCAACACCAAGACACAACTCTGCCAACCAGCACCTGGGGCTGGCTGAGGCTGGAGAGCCAGAGACCCCGTGGAGGCCCCTGAAGATCAGAAGGGGCTTCATTCTTCTCCTGGACATGGACTAAGACAGCACTGGCCAAGGCAGTGGCACCCCAAAGCCTGACCATGGCTGGGACAGACACCATGAGCATCCCCCGGTCCTCCTCCTGAGTGTGTCCAGTCTGGCGTTCAGTAGCGATTCCCTCGGGCAGCAGCCATCAGCACTCCCTACCTTGAGTTGTTTTCCCATCCCATGAGGTGGGACTTTCAGCAAAAGCCACGTTGGCCTTCTCTCAGAAGGTCAGTGCCAGCTCAAGTGCAGGGGTGGGTCCCTCTCCACCTCCTTTAATGCCACCTTTCCCACAATTCCAGGGGCTCCCCATGCTGCATGCAGGGGGGTCTCTGTCTCCACGCTGCCTCCTTGGTCGGGTCTCACTTTCCTGTGCCTTTTGCGTGTTGGGAAAGGGTCTGGGTGTCACTGCCGCTCATGCTTAGAAACCACTGAAAGCCCCCAATAAAGCATCCAGGAGGAGCAGTTGCTTTTCATTTCTAAACCTGTTTGTCCACCCAGCTCTCGTTTCCAAAGTCAGGCCAGAGGGCTGGAGGTGAGGTTGAGGTCCCCAACTGAGTTGAGGGCAGGTTCCAAATTGCCGGTCTAGGATGGAGAGACTTTCCAAAGCTCTGATCTTGAGGTAAACACTCCTTGCTTAGGCACAGCACTTCCCAGTTTAAGAGCCTGCTCACAAACATTTGCCTACATTAACCTTTAGCGGGCACCCAGGGCACATCCCCACACCAATTTCTAAGTGGAAAACGTATTAAAATGCCCAAAGAATTAAGCGGGGATAATAATTTGTGGAATATAGTTTTATATTGAAAGAAGATGGTAAGAATCTGCCCGTTTAAAAATAGCCAGATCTAAGACAGGTCAATGGTGGATCTTGGAGACCCTGGACACTCTGGTACTGCGTGTCCCACTGGGCTACCCAGACATGCAGAGCCTCCTCACTTGCAATGCAACCTCCACTCAAGAAGAACAGCAGCCTACGCTCCTAGCAGGATCCACTGCCCTTGTGAAATGGGGACACGCACACCCTCTCCAAAAACAAGACTCACAAGGCCCTGCCTGTCTGCCACATAGCTTGGGGTGAAGTCATATTCTCCTCCCACTCTTCCAGGTCTAGAGATCACACTCGAGCCTCACTGAACTATAACTTACAGACCAAATTCAGCTGTCACTAGCATTCCCGTGACACAGTGTGCACATACAAGCAAAGAAAATCCTCACAACTGCCGCCCTTCTGAAACTGTTCCCAAGGCCATTGTTGATATTTACAATTTCTCTTTTCTCCCCGGCTACTCTATGTTTGTTCTCTTTGCCTCAAACAGTGCTCTGCTGGTTGGTGAAGTCTGCCTGGTGAAATGACTCTAACTTTTGGTGGCCCTTGGGTTACTGTGGTCTAACCATCTTTTACCATTAGATGTGAAGGTTTTGTAGGGTACCTAGAACCCCATCTCCATACATAGCTTCCATGCTAGCATTTGTAGAGAAGCCCAGCATGCCTTGGTAATCAGGTGGAGCTCCACACCCTGGGAGGTGACACCACTTTGCCTGGAGTTTCAATGTAGGAGGGGCTCCAAATGGCCAAGCAACGGAACCACTGATGTGTTCCCCAACAGAAACTTTCTGTCCTTGGTACTTATCATCTCTAAGTGGCCAAGGCCCACAGTTTCAGGGATGGAAAGCACTATGTGTGATAGTGGAGTCACTACTCCCTCTTCTACCCTGGCCCTGCTGGCCCTGTGTTACTCAGCTGAGGAGAAACCAGGACCATGACAGGTTGAAGTGCAGTTTCTATCGCCCCCTGCAGGTCAATGCTCCAGCCCTGCAGCGTCTCCCAGCCGGCATCGGAACAGAGCCTTCAGTAGCCCATTTCAATGTTCTGTGAATCTGGCTGCTTCTGGGTACAAGAGTAAGGACATGACAAGACCAGAAGTTTCCATTGGTATGACCCCTTTGCTGCTCTTCCCTTGCTGTAACCTCGATTCTTTGGTCAAAGCAATGTCACATGGAATACCAAGACTGAGCCCAGACATCCTATGTCCTTGTGTGTAGTGGTCAGAGACGGCAAATCCACATGGAGAGCCAGTGAGGACCAACTGCTGCTTCCTCTATAATGGAAATGGTTCCACGTAGATGAATGTGATGAATGGTTCCATGTCATAACTCTGGGCAATCTGTGCACTCAACAGTGATATTGACTAAATAGGGTTTTTTTTTTTGTGTGTGTGTGTGTGTGTATGTATGTGTGTGATGCTGGGGATCGAATCCAGGGCCTTGTGCATGTGAGGAAAGCACTCTACCAACTGAGCTATGTCTCTAGCCCCCTAAATAGGTTTTTTACGAGAGGAAGTCCGTGTTATACCATTTATAACCCATCAGTGACCACGCCCGTTCTCATGAACCTATTGGACAAGCACAAGGGTATCTGGGGAAAGAGAATGACTAATAGCTACAAAACAAGGAATTTTTTCCCCTGGTATATTGACCCATGACCTCCTCTGCAGTGGCTACCTTTGGGGGAACATGCACGTAGGACACATTACCCTCCCATTCTATGCGCACACGCCTTCTCCCACAGACCTCCTTGTTACCAATCCTGCAATCTTTTCTTTCCATGTTCCTGATCATCCAGCCAAACCCTCTATCCCATGCATATGTAGGTTCATATTTCGGACTTCTGTCTCCACTTGAAAAGTGGTCAACCAGATGGACGGCTTGGACCTGTGTTCTTGGAAGCTATTTGCCTTCTGCAGTGTCTTCCAGGGCACCCTGCAGTGCTGTAACCATCCACTTCCACCTGGCACCAGGCCCGAGTTTTTTCTTCCTCCATCAACTGACCACAGGGACTTCACCACAAGACCTTGGGTACTGATTGAGGAAGAGGCAGCAATGTGGCAGAACAGATGGCATTGTGCTATCACTTTCACTTGGTAAAATGCTGCTGTACATGCATGTCTTGGCTTGACAGGTCAGATGACACCCAAATCGTGACTGAGTGCTCAGCCAGGTTGCATAGCACTTGGTGTCTCGTGGGCAGGAGTTCAGTCTCTACAGGGCCCAGAAGGAAGCCCGATGCTATTTCTTAAAAGGACAATCAATTATCATTTGCAGAAGAGGAAATTGTGGGGTATGCTGAGATTTTCCGACTGGGACTTGCTGGAAGCTCAATGCCATGTGCCTGTTTCAGAGACAACTGAGGCACCATTCATTGGATGTGCTGGGTCACAGGCTCCATTGACAGAGTATCTTGCACCGCAGCCTGAATTGCATTGGGACCCATTCAAAACTGGCAGAATTCTGGGTTATTCAGCAAATAATTCAAAGAAACACGTGTGCATGGGCATGTGTTGCCTCTGGTTGGGCAGCCAATCAGTGAGGAAGAAGAGAAGAGATTTCAGGGACAGCTAGCAGCCTCTGACATAGGAGTAACTGAAAAAGAAGACTGCTGGAAAGGTTGGTGGGTGCAGAGGAAGCCCAGGCTGGCGGACAGCAAGACTGCCATCTGCTGGTTCCACATATGGGGAAACCAGGATCCTGCATGAGATGGCGGGTGGTTGAGTCAGGACCCCACTGCCACAGAGCTAGAACCAGGAGTCCTTTCCCTGGTCTCATTCTGTCTCTGAGAATATCATGGAGGAAATCTAGGGTGTCGACAGGTATTTACTCTAAATTCATGGGCTGCTGGGCCATGGGGGATGCAGAGGTGACGGCAGGTGGCTATTGGAGTTCTCTAGTCAGGAAGATGGGCAACAGCACTCCGGACTATGGCAACAGGGGCTCCTGAGTTTACACTGTCAGCTGGGCGAGGTGGGGCACACCTGTAGTCCCAGCCACTTGGAGGCTGAAGGGGGAGGATCACTTGAACCCAGGAGCTGGAGACCAGCTTGGGCAACATAGTGAGACCCCATCCTCCCAAAAGAGAAAAAAATAAAAGAAAGGCTTCTCTGACATTCCCTGAAGAATTCCTGCTGGGAGGACAGTAAGGGCTGCTGAAGGTCATAGTTTCTTCTGTTTGTTGGTTTCTTATTGCCAAAGTTACAGACTTGATGACCCAGGTCACTCCAGCATATCCCCAAAGTCCTATCTGGCTCTTCTCTAGCAACCTGGGCCCACACTGCCTAAGGGCCTCAGTTTTCTCATCTCTGAAATGGAGCTGGTGACACTAACAGCTGCCATTCATTAAGTACTAGGAAATATGCATAATTTCAAACCCTAAGAAGCATGGATAATTGTTTTTCATTGATGAAATGAAGACTCAGAATTCAAGAACTCATGGTTCTAGTAGTAGATTATACTATGGGTCTTCCCAACAGCATTGCATAGCCACAGCCTTTGACACGAAACTTCAGCCCCTCTCACTGTGGGTGGAGTTTATTCCCTGCCCCATCAAGCCTGGTTTTTCCGGGTGACCTTCTTGTGTTAGTGGAATATTGGTGAAAGGATATAACTTAACCACTGAGCCATATCCCCAGCCCTTTTTATTGTTTGTTTTGAGACAGGGTCTTGCTAAGTTGCTTAAGGCCTCCCTAAATAGCTAAAGCTGGCTTTGAACTTGCGATCCTCCTGCCTCAGCCTCCTGAGTCACTGGGATTACAGGCATGCACCACCATATCCAGTGGGCAGAGGTTTTAAATGTGCTATGTGGTTCAGCTTGGACATGGGTACCAGCAACCATCAAAAGGGGAGCATGCCCCTAAGTAGTTGCTGCCCTTTTTTCTGGATGCCAGAACAAAACTAGCAAAACAGGACTGAGCCTATCTTGTGGCTTACAGCCAGGCAGAGCCGCCCCCCAGGCTGCAGCAGAGCTCAACAGCTGAGGGCAGCCCATAGTAGCAGAGTTGACCTGCATTTGCTGTAAGTCAGTAAGTCTGTTGGGAGATGTGTTATTACCAAGCAGTATTAGAGCAGTAGCTGACTAATATACTGGCAGAACTGGGCTATGAAGTCAGATATGTTTGAAGCCAAAGTCCCAGCTATTTTCTCTTGGTCTGTATTGGAGGGAACCACAGGTGAGGTGATACATTAAAATGTCAAGCATCAGACTAAAAATAATCAAGAACAAACACCAGTTGTTAATCTTATTCATGTTGCATTAGATTGATGACATGGAGAAATTTCAGGGTTATTGAGGAAATTTAGTTGTTAGAGGGTCTGCCCCTGAGAGAGAGAGTCATTAAGCAAAGATAAATCTCTTCGATACTAAGCAGGTCTCATGGGTGTCTGATATCTCAAAGCTTATTTTCCCATCTGTGATTGCATTAGGCCAAACAGTGACTAGTGAGACAGAAAGTATTCTCATTTTGTAGTTGAGTAACAAATCAGAGAGGCTAACTGCTTTGCCCAGGGTCACGTGCTGAGGAATTGAATGCAGGCTTCTTGGTTTCCAGTCCAGGTCAGTTCAGGAGAGCTGGTTTATGCCCCCGCCGCTCACCCTGCATCAGTCCCCAGCAGCAAGAGGTGCCTGGCAGATGAAGTACGCTCAGGAAGTGCAGGCGGAAGCCAGGGCAGGTGCAAGGGGTGCCAGTGGGAACACGCAGCTGGCTCAGGCAGGCCCCAAATGACTTTGTTCCAGAAATTAAGATCTAATCATGGAGGTTCCCACACTCCCCCACCCACTTACCTCCTAAGCACTCGGCGACCTCAGAAGCTCAGACACTGGGTGGCACACCTGGCAGAGAAGGCAGCGGGTGGCAGGGCTCTGTGATAAGGCTCCCCGCCCAGGGCCCCGGAGGAAGCATCCTGGGACCAGCGGTGGGCAGCCCGTAGTTCCCTGGGTGGACAGCACCTCAGACAGCACCGGGACCTACTTTACCTTGGCCAGAAGGACGCCACCAGTTCAAGGCTCTTTCTTTCAGCTGTCCTGGAAAATGGCTCCCTCCCTCTCCAGTAACTTCGTTAACCTGGAAACCAGAAGGCAGAGTCTGAGGTGCTCCGGGGCCACGCCGGAGCACAGGGACACAGCCTTACCTGTTCAACAGCACCTCTGTGAACTGAAAACGCGCTCGTGGTGGGTTTTCTTTCTCCTGGTAAAGTAAGTTATGCTACTGGTGACACACTAGGACCTACCACACCTTGGACGACCCTCGTGTTGTCCTCCCACACAAGGTCCTGTTCTAAGCACCTCACAAGCTTTAATCCCCACAACACTTCAATGTAGGTACCATCCCTCATTTTACAGATGAAGAAACTGAGACCCAGAGAGGTTAGGTGCTTGCTCCAGGGTGCACAGCCAGTGTGGATGTTAGGGTTAGGATTGGAAACCAGGCAGCCTGTTAACCTCCTTGGTCCTTTTACTTCCCTAAATGCTTTATGTAATTGTCTCTGCCTGAGCTGTGAAAATGTCAGGGTCCATTGGGGAAACACTGCTTCTGATGCTCTGCACACTGTCTGATGTGGCGATTTCGTTGTCTGAATGTGGTTGAACTGCAACCCATGGAGGCAGGTCGGAGTCTGAGTTAATGCTGCACTCCCCCCCTCGCCTAACACAGAAACTAGAACACTGGGTGCTCCCCAACTACTGGGTGACTGATGAGTGAGGAGAGGCACCGTGAACCCCACCTTACACGCCCGAAGCAGGGGCTCAGAGCTGACCTGGTTGAGGACACACAGCTGCGAGTTATAGTCAGCACGAGCCCAGATCTTCCGCTCCAGACTCAGGCTAGCTAGGACGTCACTCATTCTTGGTAGCAACTGCATTATGTGACTCACAGAGTTACTATAATTTATGTAACTGATATAATTTATGTAACTGTCATTTGGGTTTTGACAAGTTTTCACTCTTGCAGCAACTATAATAAAAATCTTTCTGTACACATTTCTGTAGTGCAAACCCCTACACTGAGGTTGTTGGGTCTGTGCGTTTTCAGTTTGGTTTCCACCAGGTCACCGTCTAAACAGGAGGTACCAGGCTTCCACCCGCGTCCCCTGCAGCGGGAGGGCACTGTTCTCTGTGCTGGGTGTTCAACTGTAAAACTCCCCAGGTGCTGTCAGAACTGTCAGAGGTTGCGGGGACAATTCCTAATGATGTCTAAACCATAGGGGTTTCTCTTAACTACCATCTCGATAGTGATCAAAAATGTTTTGATTTTGGAGAGTTTTTAAATGACCTCTGCAGCTCATCCCTTTGGGAATTAGGTTTGGTTCCCCAAGTGCAGTAAGCCCATATGAACCCATGTGACCAGGCCCGAATTACCCTAGGGTGTCGTACAGAGAAGGAGGAGCAGAGTGGTGACACACTGCACCCAGAAGTGTGCTCTCGTGTCACTCACCAGGAAAGGAGCTGCCCCCTCAGCCCTGAGGGGGCAGCTTCTTTCCTGTTGTTTCCTAAAATAAAAGCCATAATCAGCTTTGAAAGAACTATTTATCACGCAGAACAGAGAAACAGAGGGACAGGGTAGACGGGTTGATGAGACAGCCCAGACCACCCAGAGCTCATCACGTGAGGAAACTGAGTCCCAGAGATACTGAGTGATTAGTTCAAGGTCACACAGAAGAGCAGAAAAAGCAGTGGCAGAATCCAGTCCACACCAGGTATTCTAACTTCTGGCTGAGAGTTCTTTAGATTGCAGCTAGGCACATCTGTAGCCACCAACGACAGGCCTATAAGTCTTCCTTCCAATCTCAGGGGCTTTAGAAAATGACAAGAAAGTTGAGTTCGCCTTGGAAAGGGAAACCTGAATAAATTAACCCATGGACTATCAGCATGACCTTGTGTGTTGGCCCCACTGCCTTGGATTCACTTCCCTGCCAAACTGTTCCAACTCCTCTTTATCCTTCAAGACCCCAAAGAACCACTACCCTCTGTGGAAATACTCCCTGATTCTCTGGGGCAACTGGCTGCTTCCTGCTCTGTGTTCCCAGGCCCTGACCTTGCTCCAGCACTCAGAGCAGTCTATGATGGGCCTGGGTCTTCTCTGTGAGAGTGACAATTCCTTAAATGCAGATGTGTCAAATCCACCTTTGCAAACCCAGTAGCTGAAGCCACAGTGACTTTAGAGCATTAACTCCACCAGGGAGGGAGTTGATTCAAGAGGGTTTTTAGCAGGGCATGATGGCGCACACCTATAATCTCAGTAGACTTGAGAGGCTGAAGCAGGAGGATTGCAAGTTGGAGGCCAGCCTAGGAAACTTAGTAAGACCCTGTCTCAAAATAAAAAATCAAAAGGGTTAGGGGTAGCTCAATGGTAGAGTACCCCTAGGTTCAATCCCTAGTACTGAAAACAAAAACACTTCTGCAGAGCTGCTGAAGGAACGTGAACAGGAAGTCCTCCAGGGTGAGGAGACGCTGATCCTAGAGGCACTGAACTTTCATCACACACTACCTGGAAGTGCCAAGCAGGTCAGGCTGCTAAGTGAGGTGAGCGGGGCCCTAAAAGGCCCAGGAAACTCTCACCTGTGTGGAGGCCTCCCTCCAGGGCCACAGAGCACTTGTGAAGACGACCCCACCCACGTGAACTTTGTAACTGCTCTTCAGCCTTCCTCCCAGGAGGCCTAGCTCTCCTTTGCCAAGGGGATGCCGCCCAAGTGCAGCTGACACAGAACTCAGGATAGTAAGACACAGAAAGGAGTAAGGCAGGCTAAGACACACACACACACACACACACACACACAAGATGTAGGTGAAAAAAAATGAGATGAGAGTAACTATTGCCATGAAATACTACACACACACACACACACACACACACACATACATGGTGGGGGAGAGGGAGATGGACAGACAGAGGATGAGGGGGAGAGAGAGAGACCCAAGAAAGAATCACTGATGCTCGAGGAGGTGTAATCAAAGTGACTTGGGAGGCTGAGGCAGGAGGATCCCAAGTTTGAGGCCACCCTCAGCAACTTAATGAGACCCTGTCTTAAAATAAAAATCAAAAGGGGCTGCATATATAGCTCATAATTAGGGCATCACTGGGTTCAATCCAAGAAAGAAGTAAGGAATTAAAGAGTGGGGTGGGGGGAAGGAAAGAAAGAAAAGAGACAGGCAGACTGTCTTTCATATAGTGCTCTCAGGTTTGCTGGGCTGCAGGCTTCCGTACGGATATGAGAAAGTAACACACAAAACACTGGAATGCGGATTTCATTATCTCCAGTTTACTTTAATTTGCTTGTTTACACACAGATCCGTGTGTACATAACAGTGGCAAGAGCCATTCTCTAAACACAATCTGGTACCCAGACATGACAGACGCACGGGAAATGAGGGCCAGGGAAGGAACCTCCAGAGAGGCCAGATAAGCATGGCAGAACTCTGCCATCAGAGATACCCTCAGAGCCTCTTGTCCAGCACCTGAGGACAACAGACACTTCTCAAAAGATATGAGATATTCAACCTGAGACCCAGACTCCAAGTTGCCCCCCAAAAATGTCAGTTCCTCTGCCTTCCATAAAGAAACCAGAATATTCCAAAGGCTGTCAAGAAAAAGGAGGATGGAGATTTTCAACTGCTAAGAACAGATGCTCAGCACTTTATAGGCATCATTTCCCATAATCCCAACAGCATCATCTCCACTTTCCCAGTGGGGAAGACGAGGCTTGCACATAGTCACAGCTTCTGGGGGTGATGCTAAGATACGAGCCCACACCTGACCTTTGCCTGGGCCCAAACTCTTATCATGCCGTAGTGTGTCACATGGTGAGAGTGCACATGCTCCAGAGGAAAAGGCAAGGGTGCTGAGGGACCAGGGCGCAGCTCAGAGGCAGAGCACTTGCCTAGCACACGTGAGGCTCTGGTTCCATCCTTGGCACCACAGAAAAAAAGAAAAAGCACTAAGAATGAATAAATGGTGGAAGCCGGATGCACACAGCAGGCCGGGTAACTGACAGTCCCCCTTGTACTTAATTTAGTGTTAAGCCTGCACCAGACTTCGTGAGAAAAATGAACTTCTGAAGTCACCCTCCACTTAGTCCCCTTTGGTGCTGAACATGAAGCTTAGGAAAGACTCAATCCCTGGACATGCGCCTGCAACTGACCTCAGGCCCACTCCACCCCCGGTTTATGGATGGAAACCCCAAGGGTGGAATAGGTCATTCCCACGGTGAGCCCATCTAGCCAAAGCACTGTAGTGATGCCTCACTGTGCATTTCTTCCCCTTTGGGGACAACATGGTACGTCTCACGTTTTGATCAATAAAGCTGACCCACAGCAAAATGGGATACGAAAGACATATTTTAAATATCTTTATATAAAAAGATTTACCCTGAAGATCGACCAAGCTCCTTACCACCAAAGCCTGAGCTAAGTAAGCCAGGCGGGGAGAGCTTACGTTAATGCTATTATCTGGCTCCACGCCTCAGGCCATCAACCAGAAGGCAGGGCTTGGTTTGAAAGGCCAGAGGAGACAGTCTGGAAGAGAGGACATCTTGTGGACCTGTGCCCTGTGAGATGGAGTGAAAGGTTTTCTGACCCTTCCCAGCACTCTCACAGTGAAGGCCACAGAATGACAAGGCTGGAAAAGAGGAGAGGAAAGGTCCTGGATCGGGCCCAGGTTTTGTGTTTCATTGATGGTGCAAGGAAGAGGAGGTGGGGCCAACGTCAGGCCACCAAGTGTAGAGATGTCTTTGCCAACGGCCTGGCTGCTGGCCAGCAGAGGGAGAGTTTTATTTCACTTTCGAATTATCCCCATCTTATCCAAAGGTAAAAGTGCCCTGGGCACAGTACAGGGACCAATGCTCTTATGTATGACCCTGAAGCACTCTTCAGTCTACACCTGATACCTGGTCAGGAAGGTTTCAGTACAAATACACATTTTACTAAACTATTCTGACTCAGCTTAAAATCCATCAGATTATTAAAATGCCAGCTTTCCGGTTTTATTCTTAACAGAGGAAACAACCTCACGAGGTGTAATTCCTCTAAAGCCAAGAATTTGGTTTATAAAAAGTAAATTAGTGTTCTAAAAAGACTCCTCAAAACAATCTACACATAACAAAAGCACAGTACTGAACTGTGAGTTGTTTTCAGGAGTTTTGTTGACAAAGAACAAATGTCATAGTTGTTATTAAAAACTATAAAGCATTCACTCAAAAGAGAAAAAAACATGACCGTATTGCTCCAAAAACCAACATAACAATAGACAATGAACAGAAAAATATCATTGTTTGTGACACAAAAATCACCCAATACTCAGTGGCACAGGCACTGTGTTTTAAGGGACTGATTTTGGAGGCTGAGCACAGCCGGCTGCAATACTCAACATTCCAAGGAGGAAACAAACAGCTGCCACCGAGTGTCTTTCGGGGACTGGGGTGTTTTATGAAGAACCTGATGGGAAGAGATGCTTCTGCCAAATCTACAGGGAGGAATACTGTTGCAACAACGGCTCTAACAGCCGCTTAAGTCAAAGGACAATTCAACTCTGGGAGATGGCAGCACAGGACCGGAGCTCTGCCTCCCCTTGGGCCATGCCAGGGAGGCCGTACTGATTCTGTCTTTTCAGGGCCTACCTACCCCCTCAGAGACAAAGGGGGTGTTTCAGGTTAAAGTCAAGTCTTTCCACCGGTGAAAAGTGCCTGGTGGGAACAGTGATGTTTGTGATATAGGCAATGTCACCAAGAAGAGTCTGAGGACTAAACTCACTCCCCAGACTCATCCACCTCTCCACCCACAACTGCCTGCAAACATCCTGTCTGAAAAGGGATCCAGAATTCAGCTCATAACTAACCAAATAAGTGGGAAATACATTATCTGTCGTCCTGCTGTCCCCTTTTGTTTCCTCTCTTATTTCTTGTAACTGTCTTGCTTCAAATTCAAGCTAGAGCTCTGGGGAGGAAGTCCAGGGGAGAAGGATTTCAGATACCAAAACCCATATGTCCCATACCAGCCCAGCAAACCAA